TCTCTCTCTCTCTCTCTCTCTCTCTCTCTCTCTCTCTCTCTCTCTCTTTCTTTGTTTCTTTCTTCCTTTCTTTTTTTACCGTGACACTTTCCAAGGCCCGGGCCCCTCTCTCAGGGCGAACCAATTCCAGGACAGGTTGTTTTCTAATCAGCTTCTTTTCCAAAATTCTAACTCACCACTTCTGTAATATATTACTGTCTTCCCCTTTTCCCTTCTCCATGCCAGTGGAGATTTTCAAGCCAGGTGACCCTGATGTATGCTCTCTCATTCCTGTTGTTCACTGTGTCAGCCCTCAACAACAAAAGGCAGGTGGGCACATATTTGGCATCTAAGCTCTGAATCTGGCATGTAGCACAACAACATCCCCTCTTTACAGAAATGACCCTAAAATTCCCCATGTCATGTCATCCAGACATCACCAAAAATGGACACACACTTCATTCTCTTATGTCAATGTCAGATCCCTGTGTCCATGAATTCACCTTCCATCTGCAAATTCACATCACTCTTTCTACCACACCTCTCTCATACCTGCATTCCCACAGCCACAGCCCCCATAGTCATCTCCTTGTCCTCTTACTCATTACTCAGCATGGGCATCCAGTGAATTCTAAACCTGTTCTAACAGGATGAAGTACTACCCCGACTCTGATAGTCTACACTTATGGAAGCATCCTTGAGTACTGTTAAAAAGGCCTCTGTCCTTGATTATTTTTTCCTTCAACCTCACCTATTAAGAACTACCTCAGATCTCAGATATCCAGAGCTCACCTCCACTGGTGCTGCACTTGATGTCCCTTCACTAGTGACAGCATTTATCTCCCCACTTAACTGTCACCCAAATCCCAGCCCAATGATTCCGGGCCCAGTGAGTCTCATAGTTGACCACTAGTGTTCCTAAGCTAATCCATGAGACTGACCACAACACCTCAGGCCATTCAAAGGGTCATAACAAAATCCTGGTGAGTGTTTAAGAAGTAAATATGCATCAGCCCCAGGCTCATCTCTGAATTACTTTTCGGCCTCCAATTCATCTGGCAATGACTCACCTTTCGTGGGTTTTAGCCACTGCCAAATGAGAATATCTCCTCCACCATGTAGTTGACCACTTCTGTCCCTATGATATCTGTGACGCCTAACTCGCACAAACAGGAAACCCAGCAGAAAACCCAGTCCTCAGGGTGACACTCTCCTTCCTGAGTTACCATTATCATCCTGAGTGATTCCCCATTTATTTATTTTTTAAAATATATTTTCATTGATTTAAGAGAGGAAGGGAGAGGGAGAGAGAGAAACATCAATAAGAGAAGATCATTGATTGGCTGCCTCCTGCACCCCTACTGGGGAATTGAGCCTGAATCCCAGGCATGTGCCCTTGACTGGAATCGTATCCGGGACCCTTCAGTCCACAGGCCATTTCTATCCACTGAGCAAACCAGCTAGGGCATGATTCCCCATTTTAAAGTGATCTAAAGCCCAGATTGGTGTTGCTCAGTTGGTTGAGCATCAACCCATTCACTGAGAGGTCACTAGTTGAATTGAGCCCTGGTCAGGTCACTTGCCCAGGTTTCCTACTTAATTTCCAGTAAGGGGCCTGCAGGAGGCAAGCAATCCTTGGATCTTGCTCATTGATGTTTCTCTCTCTCCCTCTGCCTTCCTCTCTATCTCTCAATTCAGTAAGAACATAGTTTTTAGAAAAAGGTGATCTATACCTCCACTCTAAAAAGGTCCACTACCTTTTTAAGAAATTTTCATTCTGAATTGCTTCTCAGAGTTCCAGACTCTCGTGAACTACCCTCTGTAGTATGTTATACCCTAACAGGCCAAAAAACAACAACAAACAAACCCCCAAACCAAAGTTATTATATCCCCAAAGAACATTAATCTACCTATAAATTTATCCATCTCAATTGATGATGCTGCCATTTCTCAAGCTGCTAAATCCCAAACCTCCCATCATCGCTGACTCTTACCTCTCTCTCTCAACCTCAAAATTAAAAATCCAGGTGGCCACACCTAAAACACTAATCCATAATCCAACTGCTTCTTCCATCCACAAATCTGTACCTGTAATTGATTGTGCATTTGCAGGAATCTGTAGAAAGATAAAGGGCTGTTGAGAGCCTGGCAAACACCACCAGGATCCATGGGCTTGGCCACCCAGTACCCTTTCCCAGCCTTGGGGTCAGGTGATCTAGAGATGACTGTATTACCTCAGGCCTCAGGGCTCAGTGCACAGGCTTGCCAAGTTTGTTATCTTTAAAAGGACTTCTCCTTCCTGTCCCAACAGGTATCCTCTCTCTTCTAGTGTGTTCTTCCTCTGAGCAGTTTTGGGAAACGTTTGGAACCCTACCTAAGACAATGTCCCTCTTTTGTTCACAGCCATTGATGGCCCCAGCTTCCTGAGAATGAAACGAAAACGTCTCTGGCAAAACTTCGCCTCATCTTCTCTGTTGCCTTTAGTTTAGACACAACACAGGCCCAGGATTCCCGAATCCTCCCAGCTCAGCCATACCAACCCAAACCTTACACAGTGGCATTGCAGCCTGTCACCCTCTTTCACCCCGTCACACTGCACGTCACCCACAAGAGACTCACGGTTCTGGACGCTGCAACCTGGGCTGCAGGACCTGACAGACGCCTGGACCCAAGGATGAAGGCTGAGTTGAAGTCTGTAAGCAAAACGGAATCTGGGAGGCACGGAGACCTCAATCCCGCCTGTTGCAGCTAATCAAGCCTCAGACACACCCCTGCACAGCGGGGACACGGCTTCTGGTGCCTCGTCCTAATAGGGACGCTGAGCACCAGAGCCTCTAACTACCTTAACAGAACAAAGAGTTCAAAATGACCACCAGGAGAAAGACACAGGAAGTCACTCCCAAACCAATAATGCGCTGGTCCTGGGCTTTCATTGGCTAAAACCGGCCATCACTAGGCGCATTGCCCTTTGGGTAATGTAGTTTTCCGGACCCCACAAGTGGCATTAGGATGCCAGTCACTCACTGATCATTGCGAATATTGGTGCTGGTGTGCCTGAGGGGTGTTGGGAAATGACAACTTTAGGTTTTGGGGGCTGGTCACAGGTTTCTGGGAAGTGTTGTCTGCAACTGATCTCTTGTTTTGCGATATTATTTCAGATTCTGTGGAGCTCAGAGTCCTCGCTGAGGTGAAAAGTATTATTTCAATTATTCCTGAAGACTACAAATTTAAATGAATATATATATATATATATAATTTTGAGAAAGAGAAAATGAGAGGCAGAGAGAGAAATATGGATCAGCTGCCTCCTGCACACCACCCACCCACCCACTGGGCATCGAGCCAGGGAATCTGACTTATAATTGAACTGAGCCACTCCAGCTATCCAATTTTTTATTTTTCACATAAAACATCACATTATTAAGAGAAAAAGCAGGCTGTAAGAGAATACAAGGTAAATTGCCTGATTGTAGAGTTAATAAAAGACGGGGCTGGAAGGCAAACCCATGTGTCTCTAATAACAGAGTTCTGGCTTCGAATGTTAGACTCTGCTGCCTCCTGCAGCTTAGAATAGGGAATGGGGAGTCGGGAACAGTCAGGGGCAACAGTGCCCACCCCTTTGCTCCTTACAGGTGGTGCCCACCCTTAACTGCTGCCTTCCATCCAGCCTGATTCAAGTTTTCATCCCTACATGCTTCCCTACATACACCCACTCTGGGACCCTGCCCCATGTGCTGTCAGGAAACCCTCTCCCCGACACTATCCAAGGCCCCAAACTTCTCTGCTCCCTCAAGCACACACCCCATTAGCAGACTGTCCCCCAGATTCCTGGGTCCTTCTCCTCACTATAGGAGCAGGGGTCTGCTTTGCCAAGGCCAAACATAGAGAGGGAGGACATCAGCCACAATGCATCCCCTCAATATAGTACCATCTTGAGACCAAACCTGGCCTTCTGGAAAGCCTTATGTTGCAGAATGTTCTCGCCATTGAAAAAAACACAGCACCATTTTTTGGAGAATCCATGGTACCTCCATGACTGGCTAGGAAAAGGGGCCTTTATTTTTAAATAAAGCAAAGTGGAAAATTACACCAAGAAATGCTAAAACAGAGACTCACACTATGGCAGTAGCCCTCAGGGGTGTGTGTGTGCTGGCCAGACACACGACTTTCTAAAAGTGAACTTATTTCTGAACTGAAAGCATCAGGGGCTGAAGTGGGACAGGTGCCTGGAGCATAGGGACCTGGAGAGACCTCTGGCCAGCTCCTCTCAGGCAGGCACAGGACCCGAACCCTTCCCAGAGCCTTGCTTCAGGCTCCTCTCTGCCTTGAGTGTGACAGGGGGCGGCGCCCCAATCCCCCAATCGGCCCTGCTCTGAGCCCGACCAGGTGCTCTGGGGCAGGCACCTAGGGATTGGGCCTGCCCTCTGCCACCCGGGAGCGGGCCTAAGCCAGCAAGTCGTTATC